TCAGATGATAAAGACTCCACCTACAATGCTAGGAGCCCTGGTTTCGATCCCTGGGTGAGGAAGATCCCTTGGAAAAGGAAATGGGAACCCACTCCAGTATTCTTTCCTGGAGAATTCCATGAACAGTGGAGCTTGGTGGGCTACAGATTTTTTTGGTTGATGTATAATGGTAAATCATTGTGATTTAATTTGAATTTCCCTAATAATTTGTCATGTCAGCACCTTCTCATATACTTTTTCACCATCATGTATCTTCCTTTGTGAGATATCTATTTAATTCCTTTACTCTTTTTAAAGGGTTATTTAGTTTCTTAAGGCCTGAAGGAATTCTTTAAATATCCTGGATGTAATTTCTTTGTTGAATATATGTATTGCAAATATATTCTCTCAGTCCATAATTTTTGACTTTCCCCCCTTATTTGTATATTTTAATAAGCAAAATACATTCATTTGGATGAAGTGTAATTTATGATTATTTTCTTTCATGTTTAGTGTATTTTGTCCTAAGCAATTCTTCCCTATGCTCTCAGGTCACAAAAGTATTCTCCTGTACTTTCTTCTAAAATATTTATGATTTTAGCATATGCATACAAGGAGTTATTCAAGCTTTTTGGTCCTGTAAGTTTATCTTGTTGAACAAATTTGGGGAATTTTTGGCCAATACTAGAAAAAAATAATTATCTGTCCCCTTCTTTTTTAATATATTTATCTATTTTGAAGTTTATTGACCCCTTTGTGTTAGTTTTCAACTGGTGCCATAACATATTACCACAAACTTAGAGGTTTAGACTCACATACATGTATTATCCTACAGTTCTGTAGGTCTAATATCTGACATGGGTTTCACCAGGCTACAATCAACATGTCAGCAAAGCTGTCTCCTTTTATGGAAACTCTAGGTAAGTCCATGTAAGGTATGAACAGAGTTCAGTTCTTTATGTTTCTAAAACTGAGGTCCCTGTATTTTTGCAAACTGTCAGCTGAGGGTCATTCCCAGCTTTCCAGGTTCCCTACCTGCCTTAGCACGTGGTCTCCTTTCTCTGTCTTCAAATCCATCAACATTTGGTCATGTGTCTCTCACATTTCAAATCTTTCCTGTCTTCTTCCATTTTCTCAAGCCTATGACCTATTTCCACTTTTAAAGGACCATACAGTTACATGGGGACCATGTAGATAATTCAGCATATCTCTCTGTTTTGAAGTTTGTAGTCTTAATTCCACGTGCAAAAATCCTTTTGCCATGAAAAGTTACTGTAAAGGAAAAACTCACTTCCTCCTGTGCGACTTCCTTAATACTATTCACACTCTACACTTCTGGTCACCAAATATGTTGGGAGGGTGAGGGATAGCTTCTACACACCAAGCAAGTCTGTGATACTAGCCAGGTGTCCCACAATTTAACTCAATTCTGACATTACCTGCCTGGAGATAGTATCAGATTCCATAAGTTAAGGGCTCAGTCCTACAAGAATGCCCCCCGCCATTTCAAATGCCAACTGCAAGTGCAGATTTGTTGCTACCTATGGTTCTGAGCAGCTGACTACAGTCCAAAGTTCCCAGGACCTCAGGCTTCATTAGTTTGCTAGAGTGGCTCACAAAACTCAAGAATATGTTTTACTTACTAGATTACAAAACTTTATTTTAAAAACATATTATAAAAAATATAACTCGGAAATAGCCAGGTAGAAGAGATGCCTCAGGCAAGGTATGTGGGAAAGGGTCAAGGAGCTTCCATGTCTTCTCTGGGCATGCCACTCTCCTAGTACTTTCACAAGTTTACCTACCTGAAGATTCTCTGGACCTCATCCTTGTGGGTTTTTCCAGAGCTTTCATCACATATGCATGATGGATTAAATCACTGACTGTTGGGAGATTAACTCAGTCTCTAGGCCTTCTCCCCTCCCAAGAGGTCAGACCCTCAGTTAAGTCGTGTCCGACTCTTTGTAATCCCATGGACTGCAGCACACAAGGCCTCCCTGTCCATCACCAACTCCCAGAGTTCACTCAAACTCATCTCCATTGAGTCGGTGATGTCATCCAACCATCTCATCCTCTGTCATCCCCTTCTCCTCCCGCCTTCAATCTTTGCCAGCATCAGGGTCTTTTCAAATGAGTCAGTTCTTCGCGTCAGGTGGCCAAAGTATTGGAGTTTCAGCTTTAGCATCAGTCCTTCCAATGAATATTCAGGACTAATTTCCTTTAGGATGTACTAGTTGGACCTCCTTGCAGTCCAAGGGACCCTCAAGAGTCTTCTCCAACACCACAATTCAAAAGTATTAATTTTTCGGTGCTCAGCCTTCTTTATAGTCCAACTCTTACATCTATACATGACTGGAAAAACCATAGCTTTGACTAGACGGACCTTTGTTAGCAAAGTAATGTCTCTGCTTTTTAATATTCTGTCTAGGTTGGTCATAACTTTTCTTCCAAGGAGCAAGCGTCTTTTAATATCATGGCTGCAATCACCATCTGCAGTGATTTTGGAACCCCCCAAAATAAAGTCTGATACTGTTTCCACTGTTTCCCCATCTATTTGCCATGAAGTGATGGGACCAGATGCCATGATCTTAGTTTTCTGAATGTTGAGTTTTAAGGTCAGACCCTAGGACCAAAAGTTCCAACTCTCTTATCAAGGCTGGTTCCCCTGATAACCAGCCCCCATCCTTAGGTTACCCAAGGACTTTTCTAAATTCACCTCAATGATAAAAACTCAGGTGTGGTAGAAAGGGGCTTGTTATGAATAATGAAAGATATCCATTTTACCCTTATCACTCTTATCATTTAGGAAATTCCAAGACTCTTAGGAGCTCTGAGTCAGAAACTGGGACAAAGTTCAAATATATATATATATATGTATTATAAATCATAATATCGCAGTAAGATATTTATAGGCTCCTAGGTTCCAGGGATTAGAAATATGAACATCTCTAGAGAGCCTTTATTCTTCTTGCCAAAACGTTTAATCTGCTAACTCCAGTCTTCTACTAAATTCAGCAACAGAACCCTTTTATTTCAGATGCTAAAATTTTTCATTTCTAGAAATTCTTTTCAATTTTTTATAGCTTTTATTTCTTTGCCAATAATTTCCAACTGTTCACTCTCATTATGACCACCTTTTAAATTAAGTCCTTATTATAGATAGTTAAATGTCTTTTACTGTTAATTGTTGACTAATTATCAGTGGTCTATTGATATTGATTGCTTTCCTCCTTGACAATAACTTATATTTTCCTATATCTAATAAAATTTTTATTGCACACTTGTTGTGAATTGAAGCTCCAAATTCTGTTTTCTTCCTATGAGAAGTGGTGACTTTTTCTAATAGTTAATTACTGGCTGATCATCACATTGAATTCTTGAAGTGTTTGTTTTATATTTTGTCAGAACATATTTGTTTCCATGTTGCTCTTAGCACTTGGGCCAATTGGGGGAAAATACTATTTGCATCTAATATGGGGAATTTCCTGAATTTCAGTGAAAAGTCTGAGGTATTTATAAGAGCCCTTTTACTTGGCAGGACTCAATAAAAGGATCAAGAGCTAAAACCTATGTTTAACTTTTTTAGCCATCATGCTATTGATTTCGTCTGGACTTCTTAATGTAATGCTTTCTATATATGAATTTCAGGAAATTGTCCACAGATTTGCTGGGAGTTTTGAAATTAAGCCTGTCACTTCTTTTCTGGGTTCTCTCCTGTTAATTTCCAGTCAATCTGATAGTTTCTACCTCTCATAAAATTACAAGTCAGTATAACAGTGGCTTCTGCTTAGTTTTATCCAACTGCACCACACATTAATTGGGTATTGCCCTGAGGAGAAAAGCCTTCTAAATGTGTCTGTTACCCAGTATGGTAACCTTCTTTCAAATGTTAAATCCCTCTCAGCGTCTGCCTACTTTGGATTATGCACCAGTGCTAATCCAAAATAGGCAGGCGCTGAGAGGGATTTAACTGCTTTTTTAAAAAATATTCTGTCCAGGGTTAATAATTTCTATCTGCAGGAAGGTTAGTCTAGTACAAGCCACTCCACTACTATCTAAGCTGGAAATCTGACTCAAGTGTTTAAAGGATAAGGATACATTTTTAAAGGATAACTGTCTTCTGTGTTGAGAATATACAACAAGGAGGGAGGGAGACAAGGATAGAAATTGAAAGACAATACGGAGTTTCTTGCGATAAAATGAGATTAACTAGTCCTAGAATGATAGTAGTGAGTTGGTCAGAAGTGGTCAACTCAGGATATAGTTTTTAAGTAGAATCAAAGAATTCCCTAGTAGATTGGGGAAGAAGTATAAGAGACAGAAGTCAAGTATTTCACTAAGACTTAATAACGAGCCTGAGAAACATAGCAACTGACGCCAGAAAGTTACGTTGAACTTTGGAGGGATGAGAGCAAAGAGCATGAGTTTCATTTTAAACATGTTGAGTTCAAGATGTCTGTTAGACATTTAGGTAGAGATAGCAAGTAGGCAGTTGGATATACAAGTCTGGAGTTCAAAGTAGAGGTCTGATTGGAGATAAATTAAGGGGTTACATTAGTTATCTATTGCTATGTAACAAATTATCTCCAAATTTAGCATCCTAAAGCAAAATATCCCAAAAGAGATCAGTCCTGGGTGTTCATTGGAAAGACTGATGTTGAAGCTGAAACTCCAATACTTTGGCCACCTGATGCGTAGGGCTGACTCATTTGAAAAGACCCTGATGATGGGAAAGATTGAGGGCAGGAGGAGAAGGGGACAACAAAGGATGAGATGGTTGGATGGCATCACCGACTCAATGGACATGAGTAAACTCCAGGAGTTGGTGATGGACAGGGAGGCCTGGCATGCTGCAGTTCATGGGGTCGCATGATTTGGACACAACTGAATGACTGAACTGAACTGAAGTGAACTGAAAGCAAAATAATAATAATAATAATAATAATAATAATAATAATCTCACACAGTTTCTGAATGTTAGAAATTCAGACATGGCTTGTTTGAGTAATTCTTACTCACAGTTCTTCATGAGGCTGTAATCAAGTTACCACTGAGGCTATATGCAGTCTCTCTGAAGATTTCATTGAGGCTGGAGAATCTGCATCCAAGTTTACTCCTGGGGCGTTGGCAGGAGGCTTCAGTTCCTTACTATGTGGACCTCTATATAGGGCTTCCTAGGGCACATCTTCACACAGCAATGGATGACTGAAAGAGGGAAAGAAAGGAAGAAAGAGAGAGAGAGAACCCAAGATGAAAACCCTTATCTCAAAAGTGACATTCCATCCCTTAGTGGTACTAGAAGAGAGTCACTGTGTACAACCCACACTCTAGACTCAGGGAAGTGGAATTAAGCTCCGTCTTTTGGAGGGGGAATTATCACAGAATTTGAGAACATATTCTTAAAATTAGCACAAAAATAATCAGCACACATAATATTTAAAGTCATAGGACTGGATAAGGTCTTCAAGGGAAATTACGAGATAAAGAAATCCAAAATCTGACCTCTGGATACTACCAACAGAAAAAGTAGAGAAAAAAAACAAATAAATGAGGTTTTAAAACAGAAATCAGTGAGATAGTAGGAAAAAAATAGATTGTAAGGTTCTTGAAGCTAGAAAAATAAAAGTGTATTGTATTCTGAACCTTGTAATAGATACAATAAGATCTGCTTTCTACTTTTTTACACTTAGTTTACAAACATTAATTGTACTTAACATGAACTGCATAATTATTACATGTGGTAGATATGTCTAGACATTTTAAAATATGTTATTTCATCCTCATAACAAATCAATGAGGAAAGCTTTGTCATTCAGCATTTTATATATGAGAAATGGATGGTTCATAGAGTTAAATAACTTGTCCAAATTCACATAAGTGAGTTGCAAAGCTCATAACTGAATTATTGTCACCCTCATCCAAAACCCAAGTCCTAATACCAGGTTTCAAAATATTTGCTAAATTATTAGCACCATGGCTATCTCTTTCATCTGCCATTATTTAGTTAATTATTTTAGCCATAGAAATTAAGTTAGTGTTTATTAAAAATTGACCATAATCTTTAAGAAGCTGAAATAACATTTTTATAAATGAAGGCATTTACTCCAATATGGAAAGTATATATAACTGGACATGTTAACTGAATACATAACTGTTACGATAACTTTCCAAAACACAAACATCATCCTGGCTTATTACTACTCAGAAAATGTCAATAATTAAATGAAGTCCAAATATGTGATTCTGGTGTTCTTTTCTAATCTCATCCTCTTAGCCCAGCCTCCAGGACATCCAGCCTATAAATATTTTATGTAGTCCTATCTCCATTTCTTTTTTTCTTTTCCTTCCTGAAATGCTTACTTATCTCCTCCAATCTTCTTCCAATGTAATGAATCACTATCTACCTTGCCTCAGGCCACACGAATCTCTCCATTCTCAGAACTCCTGATGTCACCAAGTTTTTACCACATGGCTTTACCACACGATGTTTGTACGTTTCTTTACCACTGACATGCAAGCTACTTTTGGGGAAAACAAAAACAAAAACAAAAACCACTGTGTCTATTGTATCTGTCAATCTTATAGTATTATAGCCTCTTACGCATAATATGGCTTCCCAAGTGGCACTAGTGTTAAAGAACCCATCTGCCAACACAGGATATGTAAGAGATCCTGGTTCGATCCCTGGGTCAGGAAGATCACTTGGACAAGGGCATGGCAGCCCCCTCCAGTATTCTAGCCTGAGAAATTCCATGGACGGAGGACCCTGGCGGGCTACTGTCCATAGGGTTGCAAAGAGTCGGACATGACTGAAGCATCTAAGCATGCACACGACTAATATATAAATCCTTAAACTTGATAGTAAGTATTCTTCAAACAATAATAGTAAATGCAGAGAGCTTACTCCATACCTTTTACTTTTTGAAGAGTTTTATGTATACTAACTCACAAATATTTTCCTTTAATTTCCTAAAACTTTGCTCAAAATCTCTAAAATTCACTTTTGGGGAAAAGAACCATTGAATGTGCTAACGTGTGTTTTAAACAATTTGTGTGACATACCCATACACATCATGTTTATAACATAAGAAAAGTGCTGTCCAGTGCTTTTGGATCCCCATCAGAGTACAGCTGGTGAATGTTGAAGTGAGTGTGCCAAGTTATCACTCTTTTTTAGTAGCACCTCATTTGTGTATAAATCATCATCCTTATTCCATCTACTTTAAATAAACATAACCATTGACTTATGTTTCAACGTATATTTAGCATTATTAGATAACTCTGTTAAAAAGCACTACTTTACATTGTAAATATAGACTTAATTTAGTCAAATCATGTCTTGTATAGTGCAAAGTGACCCCAAGTGTCTAAATCAATACAAAGAAAAACAGTTTACTCTATTTTGTTGATTGTAGTACCTGAACTTGAAATAATGTTCCAATTCTTTGAGACCCCATTGTAGCCTGCCAGGTTCCATGGGATTTTCCGGGCAAGAATACTGGAGTGGGTTGCCATTTCCTTCTCCGGGGGATCTTTCAGACCCAGGGATAGAACCCAGGCCTCCTTCATTGCAGGCAGACTCTTTACTGTCTGAGCCACCAAGGGAGAATCTACTATAGACACAGAAAGGATCAAATAACATAATAACTATGCTATGAGGTCTGATCCTCTGAAGTTTGTTTTTTATTCACACAGACTTGAAGAAGAAAGATCTAACACTGACTTTTTCTTGATGAAGAACAAAGCTATATTGATAGCAGAGAACAAAAATCAACCTATTTATTTTTACAGTCAGCAGATTGTAATCTATGGTCTTCCTTTTATACATTGTCCCAAAAAGGCTACTAATTTCTGTGGATCTAGCAGTTTCAGAAATGGAACACTTTGTAAGTGATATCAAAGTAATACAAAAGTTCCAAAGTAAGATACCTGGAATTGGAAATTCTGATAAAGTAGAAACTACTTTGCCATTTCCTCAAGGTGCTCATTTAATATTGTTTCCTAGTGCTTGGCAGATTCTCATTCTCATCTCTGTCTCACTGCACCTGCATGCAAAGATAAATGGACCCATAACATACCCATCTGAAAAGCAAAGATAGAGAAATAACATTTCTGGGCTCAGCAAAGAACTGAGGCAAGAAGATTTGGTGGGCTCCCCAAAATCCAGTCATGATGTTTCCTCTGGTGTGAATTTAATCAGAAGTGTATAAAGAGTTTTAATTAAGAAAAAAAAAACAACTATTACTTTCTTGAACTGTTATAAATGAATGATTATCTAGTAGCATATTGTTCCCAATAAACCAGATGAAACTTTAGTACATCCTTCCAAATCCCCTGATTTAATCTTGAACTGAGCAACACAGAACAAAAGAACCAATTTGCTTTCTAAGAAACAAATGTTTAATCATCACACTGGACCCAAGCCAAACTGCGAAATCCTCAGGACTGGCAAAACACAAAAATAAAAACAAAAGACACATTTTTTTTCAAAGACACTGCTAGCACTATCTAGTATTAATAAGTCTGTCTGGTTTGTCTTTAGCAAATCTAATTGCCCTATTTCTCTATCCATTTTCCAACTCCAGTATCTCACTTTAGCTTCCTAGAGCTTTCAGATCTATCCCTGAGCCTCAATTTAAGTATGTAGAGAAATAAGCAAAAAAAACATTAAAACATTGTTTAAGAAGTGCAAAAGGTATTACTTTTTTCTCAGTGTTTTTGTATTTTAAATTTAATTTAAAAAAAAAAAATCTCCTGGGCTCCCATTCTGTTCCAAATTCTGGAAAAGAGTGAAGAAGCCTGGACCCTGCTTCTGGGTTTTCAGTCTGGCAGGGGAGACAGAATTGTAACAGATGACCAACCCACACTGAGTTAAGGTTAAGACAGAACAGTGTTAAAGTTACAGAGAAAAATGAGAAATTTTACTCTCTAATTTGGAGGTCATAGATGCCTTGGAAGAAGTACTTACTGAGTGTAAGGTATTTGTGGGACGATCATCTGGAGATACCCAGGAGGAATCGAATATTTGATTCTAGGACTCTGTAAAATATCAGGGCTGAAGATAACTTGGCATCTGTGTCATCCATTCTGAGATAACAGAGAAATCTGTAAATGAGTAGTTTGCAAAGTCTATAACTTGGACTAATCTCATGGAGATACTCTGGAGAAAACTTAGCTCCAGAATCAAATAAGATTAAGGAATACTACATGTTTTACCCCTCCTTTGGAGATCTGTAAATGATGTTGACATTTTAAAGGAACTGACAAGTCCTCAATTCCTCAAGATGTAGGGAGAGAACCAGAGGAAGCCAAAAGAATAAGACATTTCAAGAAGATAAATATGATTATTTGTATAAATCTTAGAAGAAATCCCTAAAGTTAAGAATTGGCAGGGAGAATGTCTTATTCAGTTTGAATAAGTTTTCAGTTTGAAAATGTTGAGTTTTAAGCCAGCATTTTCACTCTTCTCTTTCTCTTTCATCAAGAGGCTCTTTTGTTCTTCTTCACTTTCTGCCATAAGGGTGGTGTCATCTGCATATCTGAGGTTATTGATATTGCTCCCGTCAATCTTGATTTCAGCTTATGCTTCATCCAGCCCAGCATCTCCCATGATGTACTCTATGTATAAATTAAATAAGCATGGTGACAATATACAACCTTGACATACTCCTTTCCCAATTTGGCACCAGTCTGTTGTTCCATGTCCAGTTTTAACTGTTGCTTCTTAGCCTACATACAGATTTCTCAGAAGGCAGGTAAGGTGGTCTGGTATTCCCATCTCTTGAACAATCTTTCGCAGTTTGTTATGATCAACACAGTCAAAGGCTTTGGCATAGTCAATAAAGCAGATGTTTTTCTAATTCTCTTGCTTTTTCTATGATCCAACAGATTTGGCAATTGGAACTCTGGTTCCTCAGCCTTTTCTAAATCCAGCTTGAATATCTGGAAGTTCATGGTTCACGTACTGTTGAAGTCTGGCTTGGAACATTTTGAGCATTACTTTGCTAGCATATGAGATGAGTGCAGTCATGCAGTAGTTTGAGCATTCTTTGACATTGCCCTTCTTTGGGATTGGAAGGAAAACTGACCTTTTCCAGTCCTGTGGCTACTGTTGAGTTTTCCAAATTTGCTGGCATATTGAGTGCAGCACTTTCACAGCATCATCCTTCAGGATTTGAAATAGCTCAACAGGAATTCCATCATCTCCACTACCTTTGTAGTGATTCTTCCTAAGGCCTACTTGATTTCACATTCCAGGATGTCTGGCTCTAGGTGAGTGATCACACCATCATGGTTGTTGGGTCATGAAGATCTTTTTTGTATACTTCTTTTGTGTATTCTTGCCACCTCTTCTTAATATCTTCTGCTTCTGTTAGGTCCCTACCATTTCTCTCCTTTGTTATGCCCATCTTTGCATGAATGTTTCCTTGGTATCTCTAATTTTCCTGAAGAGGTCTCTAGTCTTTCCATTCTGTTATTTCCCTCGATTTTTTTGCATTGATCACTGAGAAAGGCTTTCTTATCTCTCCTTGCTATTCTTTGGAACTCTGCATTCAAATGGGAATATCTTTCTTTTTCTCCTTTGCTTTTTGCTTCCCTTCTTTTCTCAGCTACTTGCAAGGCCTCCTCAGACAACCATTTTGCCTGTTTGCATTCCTTTTTCTTGCGGATGGTTTTGGATCACTGCCTCCTGTATGATACCATGAACCTCGTCCATAGTTCTTCAGGCGTTCTGTCTATGAGATCTAGTCCCTTAAATCTATTTCTCACTTCCACTGTATAAATGTAACAGATTTGATTCAGGTCACAGCTGAATTGTCTAGTGGTTTCCTTACTTTTTTCAATGTACATCTGAATTTGGCAATATGGAGTTCATGATCTGAGCCACAGTCAACTCCTGCTCCTGTTTTTGCTGACTGTATAGAGCTTCTCCATCTTTGGCTGCAAAGAATATGATCAATCTGATTCGGTATCGACCATCTGGTGATATCCATGTGTAGAGTCTTCTCTTGTGTTGTTGGAAGAAGGTGTTTGCTGTGACCAGTGTGTTCTCTTGGCAGAAGTCTATTGGCCTTTGCCCTGCTTCATTTTGTACTCCAAGGCCAAATTTGCCTGTTACTCCAGGTATCTCTTGACTTCCAAGTTTTGCATGCCAGGCCCTTATAATGAAAAATACATCTTTTTTGGGTATTAGTTCTAGGAGGTCTTGTAGGTCCTCACAGAACCATTCAGCTTCTTTGGCATTACTGGTTGGGGCATAGACTTGGATTACTGTGATACTGAATGGTTTTGCCTTGGAAACAAACAGAGATCATTCTGTCGTTTTTGAGACAGCATCCAAGTATTGCATTTTGGCCTGTTTTGTTGACTATGAGTGCTATTCCATTTCTTTTAAGGGATTCCTGCCCACAGTAGCGGATATAAATGGTCAACTGAATTAAATTTGCCCATTCTGGTCCATTTTAGTTCACTGACTCCTAAAATGTCGATGTTCACTCTTGCCATTACCTGATTGACCACTTCTAATTTACCTTGATTCATGGATGCAACATTCCAAGTTCCTATGCTTTGTTCTTTACAGAATATTGTTCTTTACAGAATCGGACTTTACTTCCGCCACCAGGCACATCCACAACTGGGCATTGTTTTTGCTTTGGCTCCATTTCTTCGTTCTTTCCAGAGTCATTTCTCCACTGATCTGCAGTAGCATATTGGGCACCTACCGACCTGGGGAGTTCATCTTTTAGTGTCCTATCTTTTTGCCTTTTCATACTGTTCCTGGGGTTCTCAAGGTAAGAATACTGAAGTGGTTTGCCATTCCCTTCTCCAGTGGACCACAGTTTGTCAGAACTCTCCACTATGACCTGTCCATCTTGGGTGGCCCTACATGGCATGGTTCATAGTTTCACTGAGTTAGACAAGGCTGTGGTCCATGTGATCAGTTTGATTAGTTTTCTGTGATTGTGGTTTTCATTCTGTCAGCCCTCTGAGAGATAAGGATAAGAGGCTTATGGAAGCTTCCTGATGGGAGAGACTGACTGAGGGGGAAGCTGGGTCTTGTTCTGATGGACGGGGCCATGCTCAGTAAATCTTTAATCCAATTTTCTGTTGCTGAGCAGGGCTGCGTTCCATCCCTGTTGTTTGACCTGAGACCAAACTATGGTAGAAGTAATGAAGATAATGGTGACCTCCTTCAAAAAGTCCCATGCATGCACTGCCACACTCATTGCCCCTGACCCTGGAGATCAGGCCACCGCCAATCCACACCTCCACTGGAGAATCCTGGACACTCACAGGCATGTCTGGGTCAGTCTATTGTGGGGTGACTGCTCCTTTCTCCCGGGTCCTGGTGCGCACAAGGTTTTGTTTATGCCCTACAACAATCTGTTTCCTCAGTGCAGTGTAAGTTCTGGTGGTGCTATGGTGGGTTAATGGTGACCTCCTCCAAGACGGCTTATGCCACACCCAGGTCTGCTGCACCCGAATCCCCTGCCCCTGTGGCAGGCCACTGCTGACCCACCCCTCTGCAGGAGACACTCAAATACTCAAAGGCAGCTCTGGCTCAGTCTTTGTGGGGTCTCCTGGTGCACACAAGGTTTTATTTGAGCCCTCTGTCTCTGGAGGTATGGGGTTTGACTCAAAATGTGATTTTGCCCCTCCTACAGTCTTGCTTTGCTTCAGTTAGACTTTGTTTGTATTCATATTCCCAACACTAAGCACATTGACCCCAGATAACCCAAACCACCACCAGCAGTGATAACATGGGTGTATGTGGCACTTGACCAAATTACTAAAGCTCTGCTCAAAACAATGTCAATGAACTTATAGAGAAATATTTTGTTTGCTGTATTCTACTTAGCACTTTGCATCAGTGTTCATGAGTGGTTGATCTTCAATACTCTTCCCTTGTACTATCTTTAACTGGTTTTTGAATCAGTGTCAAACTTGTCTCATAAAAAAAAGTGGGAAAGTTTTGCTTCCCATTCTATATTTTAGAACAGGTATCAGTACCTTTTTTTTCTATAATGGGTTGATAGAAAATAGTAGCAAATATCTTAGGCAATGTCGTCCTTATGGTCTCTGTGTTGCCACTACAGTCATACTTCAGTAGTCTCAGGGAATTTGTTTTAAGATCCCCACAGAGACCAAAATCAAAGGATGCTCAAGTCCTTTATATAAAATGGCATGGACCAATTGTACCCCAGCCTGTAACCATGCATCTGCACCCATGGATAAAGGTGGCTGTGTGTACTCAACTTTGCCATAAAGCAGCCATAAACAATAAGGAAACAAGTGGGAGTGACTATGTTCCAATTAAATTTTAGGTGTCCCAATTAGTAACAAGTGGCAAACAGATTTAATCTCTTGGCCTTGATTTGTGGACTTTTTCCCTGGAATATTTTATATAGCAAGAGGACCAAGCTCTATGTGGTCTTTGATGGTTTGGGAGAAATGTCCCTGTGCCTCATCTTAGTGAAAAAGATGCTGGTGTTTCCCACTAAATAAGATCACAAGATGTTATGGGCTCATATTGTATCTTCCTTGCCTCAATTCTGGAATGACCCACTTCTCCAAGGAGCCAGTACCATACTGTTTTAGGTATAGAGGCTTTATAGTATGTTAAATGTCTGATAGAGTGAATTTCCCTTTGCAGTTATACTTTAATCATATTTTGTGACTGGATCTTACCTGTCAGCCAACTACAGAAAAACAGAGACTAGGAGGGTACATGACCCAGAGGCAGACTTGCTCACAGGGACAGGGTCTGAGAGAAGAAAGCCCAGGTCAGCAGGCCAAATCCAGGCACTAGTAGTTTGAGTATGCAATATTGTGACCATGGGTCACACTCTTGATCTTGATCTTGTCGAAGAGGATGAAAGTTAACATCAGTGATATCAGGAAAGGTCTGGCAGCAGTGGATCCAGGTGCAAAGGCAATCAGATCCACTCATGTTGGGTAAAAGCAAGTAGCAAGGATCTGCTCCAGGCAGGCTTTCTGTCCTTACAGAGGAAGGTTGCCTGGCATGGACAAGGCAGAGCCCTAACTGTAGAAGCTCAAGGTCCCTCCAACAGAGGGAGCAAATGGGATACCCTTGGCAGAGCTGCCAGGAACCCAAGGTGTAAACTGAGATCCCAAAATAAGGCCCAAGCTGAGTTACCTAAACTGGAGCACAGGACAGAACTGGACAAGGAGTAAGTGGGATTTAGGTTAAACTCCGGGTGTCAAGCTGGTGCTCCTAAGCTCCTCCTATTCAATGTCCCAGTTAGTCGCAGAGCCTGCAGGTGGGGTTACTTACTCTAGCTTTGAAGGAAGGAAGAGAGAACTTGGAAATCTTCGATTAGACACAAGACAAGTCTTTGGGGTTGTCCTTAGTTAGTCATGACCTTGGGTGGGTCACTTTGCCTCTGGTCTACCAAGGGAATTGAATGAGATTATATCTAAGGATCCTTCTACTTCTAAGAGTCAGCTGATGCCCAATTAAAAGCAATGGAGGGACTTCCCTGGGTCCAGTGGTTAAGACTCCATGCTTCCACTGGGGGGACAGATTTGATCCCTGGTTGGAGAACTAAGATCCCACATGCCTGTGGCATAGCCAAAAAACAAAAAACAAAAAAACAGGAGGAATGAAAACTCATGTTTCATCAAAACATTTTATGTGCCATACGTGATTTACACATTTACATACATTAAAGGGAAAGAAACTAATATTTTTTGTTACCTACCAGTGGTGTAAATGTTTAACAACCAGCTGTATTCAGGGTGGGAAAATAATCTGATTTGTAGCATTTGCCAATATCTGAGGTAAAAATATTCCCACTGTGGTTTCAAGTTATCACCATGTAGTCACTGAATTCAGGGTTGGGAAGAAATGCACAGTGAGCCACCATCATATAGTGTTTTCATCCCACAGATGCAATAGAGTCAAATAGGCTCAGAATACAAATAATAATAAAATGTAATGAACTGATTAGAAAGTGATGTTATGAGTATATATATATATTTAATATTTGTTTTTAATATAACTTATTTGTGTATATATAGGTTTCAAAAATGACTGCGTTGAACAGCTGGCTCTCAAAATTTTTGATAATCTATCAATCAGTCCTTATTAGCTGATAAGGGCCAGCTGCAGCATACTACTGATTATGACTTACTGTCTACTAGAGGCCATGATTGTCACTGTAGTTCTATTGTTCCATTAATCCTCATTGTGACTTTCTGAAATAGGAATTGTTTTTCTGATGAATAAAAGGATCTCAGAAAGGTTAAATAACCTACCTGGGACCACACAGCTGCTATGGTTATGTGACCTTCACCCTCCAAATCCCCAAATTCTATTATCTCATGCTATCTCTCATAGAGCAACATTTTTATTTTAAATGGTTTTATTCTTTAAGAGAGTAGATTATGTTCCATGTAAAGCCAAAGCCCTCTGATTTCAGTGAGTGTGTGAACACGGATGTGTGTTTGAGGTCACTGCCACTGAATCAGTTTGATGTCAGAAAGTGCCATTAAGCTACATAAGATGTCATTGTGAGGCGGGACCTGACTGTACAGTTTCCTAGATAAGCAGACAGTAGACCACCCCTTACCCGGAAATAAGTCTTCCACCCAGAAACACTGGGCATCACCCCAAACTCTCCTCTCATTTTCCTTTCTTTTCCCTAAAGTAATTCCAACTCAATAAAGCTAATTCCTTTTTAATCAAGTCAATATTTTATACAACGAACCTCAGCTATTCAATTCAACAAATTGAATTTCAATGAAATTCATTGAAACTGAATTGAATTTCAGTTGAAATTCAATGAATTTCAACAATTGTGGCATGCACTGCCACACTCAGTGCCTCCAACCCTGCAGCAGGCCACCGCCAACCCACGCCTCCGCTGGAGACCCCTGGACACTCACGGGCAAGTCTGGGTCAGTGTCTTGTGGGGTCACTGCTCCTTTCTCCTGGGTCCTGGTGCACACGAGGTTTTGTTTGTGCCCTCCAAGAGTCTGTTTCCCCAGTCCTGTGTAAGTTCTGTAGTCAAAACCCACTGGCCTCCAAAGTCAAATTGTCTGGAAGTTCTTAGTCTCCTTGCCAGATCCCCCGGTTGGGAAATCTGTTGTGAGTCCTAGAACTTTCTTAACAGTGTGAGAATTTCTTTGGTATAATTGTTCTGTACTTAACCTATCATAAGTATAGAAAAGAATTAGAATTTGATTCCAATTGATCAAAATGCAATTTTCATATTTTAATAAATACAATGGAATTGATGATACATGTCAAAAAGAATAAATATTTTTCAACATTAAATATTACTGATATTTTATATATATTATATGTTAATCATACTGTTTTGTCTCTCCTTGCAATGACTTCACAACCTCCTCTTTTTTCAGCTCAAATGCCATGTTGGCTCAGTAAATCAGTTCTCTGAGAAAAAATAAAAAAGGTCCTGATTTGAAGTACTCACCAATTTCCATAGGGTTGATATTCCCACCATGGCCAATTTTAAGGTGCAAAAGGTTTAGCAACCAGCTGTCAAGATCCCTGAATATTTAATGACAGAGCTAGTAAGATCCATCTCCAACACACCACTGAGAAATTTTACCTTCTCTGGTGAAGCAGTTCCTCACTTACCACATTTCATTAAGGTTATCTGTTTGCATTCATGCTTTTTATCACCAGACTGGGAATCACTGGAGAGCAGGGACTGTAACAGTGACAACAACAATAATAATAATGTCATCATTTATTTGTTAAAGAGAAAGTTGGCTGAGAATATTGAATGCTTGACAGACAAAAGGCTACTGGCACTACAGATGGAAAAGACTATTTGAAAAGGCCAACAAATAGACACGTTTTATTACCGGAGGTTGGCCTTAAAACTTGCAGTGAGCTAGAACAGACCCCAGATGAGTCACAAAAACTCTGAGTCCCTCACCTACCTGAAGATGTGTCAGGTATTTATACTTGTTCCTTTTCCCTAAAATGCATTAAGTCTAATATCTTTCCACATTAATAGTATGATGAAACCGTGAAAGATCATTTCAGCACCTAAAGCAGCAAGTGCTCCAGTACCTGGCTATGGAATCCATCCTGATTACCAATGGGCTCTCTGAGGAAGTTAGAAAAAAGATATACTTCTCAAAAGAGAGAAGGCTTTGGATCCCTGTATGACAATGACAGAAGAGAGAAGCCAAACTCCCAACAGAATCCAAAGTTCATTCTGTGACTACCTGACATTTTAAGTTCTTTGCTCATCCCATCCTGAACTCTACCCTCCAGAGCCTGGTGTGACACTATCCCTGAGGAATTCCTATTGTCCCTGATCTGAAGCAGAGTCAGATCTCTAGGTGGGAAGGAGGGACAACTGGTATTGTGAGTGGAAAAGAGCCTTGAATTCTCACTAGAGGGGGCAGTAATGCTGGCAAGGGTCAGCAAACTTTTTCTTAAAGTGAAAGTGTTAGTTGCTCAGTCCTGTCTGAGTTTTTCGGGATCCCATGGACTAAAGCTTGCTAGGCTCCTCTGTCCATGGGATTCTCCAGGCAAAGATACTGGAATGGGTAGCCATTTCCTTCTCCGGGGGATCTTCCTGATTCAGGGAAAGAACCTAGGTCTCCTCATTGCAGGCAGATTCTTTACCATCTGAGCCACCAAGGAAGCCCTTTTCTTAAAGGATCAGGTAAAAAATATTTTAGCCTTATGGACGAAACAATCTCTGTTGGCAGAAATTAAGGCTGCATAGTGCCCAATTCATAAGAATTAAATTCTCTTAATTTTCAGTAGCACAAAGTCATAAAAGAAGAAACATTAATAATGATACAGAATATAACTTAAGTATTATGATAATTTAACCAAAATTAAAAAATTGAACAAGAACAACATAATTGCAAGAGTCAACATCATTTTCAGCATTGAAGGACAGCAATATTTACTAATGCCTCATTTTTAGTCTATCAGTTTCTTGTTTATGTGAGAACATTACATTATGTTCCACATGGAATTTTACTTTCAATATGCAATCTGTAAGAATAAGAATCATTCAAATTCAACTTTATTTTGAAAACAGGTTTGACATTTAGATGACCATTTGAGAATGTGAGCCATTTTATACATATTTCAAAAGTCCTTCTCTGATGCCAGATCTGTACAGCTAACAATTGCAACAGTCAATCCAGTGTTTGTAGCTGTCTTAACAACCAAATCAAATTGCTACATGATCAATCAGTTGATCAATGCATAATTGATTGTGAAGATAGCCAGAAATATCAGCATATTTATTAACTGTGTGGAGACAGACAAAACCAATGAGCAAAGTGAAGCAAGGAAATTAAAAGAAAGTAATCAAAATTGTTTTGATCAAAGAAACTATTTGGATGAATGAGACCTAAATTTTATCTAATTTCTTCCTCTTGGAAAATCTTGAGTATTTCATGCTTAGAATTCTTGACATTTATTTATTTATTACCTATCTCCAGCAGTCTCTCACATGGAAGGTGCTTGAAAAAGCTGTCCCTTGGTCCTCCACCAACATCACCACTTTACATCTATTAAAATAAAAACAAAAGTATAAAATAGTATGTTTTCTGAAGTAGACACAGACAGCAAGGTTATTTAACCAATTATTTTACAAGTATGACACAACAAAGCAAAGGGAGGAGAAAGCTATAGAAGAAGGTGAATTAAAATCAGCTTTTAAGAAAAAACATTTAAAAAGTAGATAAAAATTAAGTTTTAACAACTCATTTAATTTTTTATATAATATGTTTCATATATGTATCTAACACATATACAAAATTAAATGCCTTTATAATTGTGTATTTGTTTACATGTATTTTATTTTATAAATGTTATTTAATTTTAAACAGGCAGGTTGTTACCTCTTGAAGACAAAGCATACAGATACTCTGGCACTGATCTTTTTAGTACTTTACATTCAAAATATCTGTGATCATGTATACGCAAACAGGCTTCCCAGGTGGCGCAAGTGGTAAAGAACCCACCTGCCAATGTAGGAGATGTAAGAGATGTGGGTTTGATCGCTGGCTCGGGAAGATCCCCTGGAGGAGTGTATGGCAACCCCCTCCAGTATTCTTGCCTGGAGAATCCCATGGGTGGAGGAGCCTGGCCGGCTACAGTCCACTGGGTTGCAAAGAGTCAGACACAACTGAAGCAACTTAGCATACATACACTCATTTGCAAACAGATAATCAGTTCAGTTCAGTCGCTCAGTCGTGTCCGACTCTTTGCGACCCCATGAATCGCAGCACGCCAGGCCTCCCTGTCCATCACCAACTCCTGGAGTTTACTCAAACTCACGTCCCTCGAGTCGGTGATGCCATCCAGCCATCTCATCCAAGCTATAAAATTGTTATGGAGTTAATATTAAAGTACTAACAGAAAATGAGTTTTATATGGCATTTGGACACATTCATAATTTCATTTGAGCCTCACAGCCTTATTCTGTGGGTCAGTCAAGAACTAGCATCAGTCATATTTTAGAGATGAGGTATCTGGAGGTCAGATGAATGAGGTGAATTTGCTGAGGTCGCACTAATGTTAAAGGGTGAAACAGATATATGATCAAGGTGTTCTGACCTTTTTCACTGAATGATTCTGCTTTCCATAACATCAACACTGAGATGTGAATTAAGTCCTTTATTTTACAAATAATCATTTTCCACGAAACTTGCTAAGAACCTGTGCAAATATTATGTACAGTGCACATGTTTATCAAGAAGAGTCAGAGGAAGTTAAGCCACCCCAGTGAGTTAGCTGTCTTTGGTTGTAGAACAATATGAAAACACACCCAGTCTCAGCCTCATTTGGGGGCATATTTTAAGAATTTAATTGCCTATTTGTCCAGATACTCTGTGCTAACCACAGGGGAAGGAAAACAGACTTCCTTCTGTTTCAGACTGCCTGGTACTAGAGCAATAATTCCTTGTTGTTTTAGAATTGTAATGTAAAATTATCAATAATTAATGGGTGAGATGGATTGGTACATATACTTTCTTCAAACTAGATTTTTCCCTTCTCTTCTTCTTTAGCTATGTCCTGTCAAAAAAGACAGTAAAACAAAAATTTTAAAACACAGGCACGACAACATCTAGATCTTTACCACCAGTGGGATTTGTAGTTAATCAGCATGTAGAATGAGAAATAACCGAGGGAGACTTCCTAGTGACTTTAGAAAATGTGGAAAGTTAAGCTCTCTTCTAAAGCCTACAGTTTTGCTTCTGCATTAGAATAGTGTTGGAATCATGATTCTAGAAAAGAACCCAGCTGGTTTTGGTTCCACTGAGAAAGAAAGACACTTTCTAAATCTCCACCCTCTACATATCCTTAACTAATTCCCTTCAAATGCAGCTCATTTCCCATCTGTCTAAATTGTATACTAGATTTTTGTCAGTAGTTAATAACTAATGTGTGTAAAATTCTACAAAATTGCAAAGGCCTATATAAAGTTAAGCTATTATTATTGCTTTCCTTACTAATATTTTTCTTGATGTCAAATATCTGATTCAAAAAATTCAGTCAAAGTGAGTGTGTATTTGTAATTATTATCTCAAGCATCCACTTGAAATTATCTGCTTAAGGCCAGTTTATAAAAAATGAAGAAAAACTTTTCTTTGAATGCCTTTTTACTTAGGACTCTACACAAATCAATTTTCATTGTTCTTCCTTTTCTAAAAAGGTATAGCCTCTTTAAATATGCATTGCTAGCATGTAACATTTTGCAAAATGTTCTAGTTAAAACTGACAAGATTCTTTTTGCAAAACCTATTGCAATAGTCCTTTTCTGACACCCACAGTCTTCAAAACAACTTCAGTGGAGAGATAGGAAAGTTAGATTAACAGCAGTATATTAGGAATATTTTGCCCCAAATAATTCCAACCCCAGATTTCTTTCATTAGATTTTGACTCCATTTTTTGTCTCAATTGGATACACAGAGAATCAGTTAAAGAAGTGTAGAGACCAAAAAATGACCAAGTCTGAGTGTGTTAAATTAATAAGAAAACCTTCATTCTATCTACCCCTGATTTCTCAAACCACTTATGAACCAGGGATCATGGACTAGGCTGCACATAGCATTGCTCTCAAAATTAGAGAAGAAATTGTTTTCTTGATAAATTAATTTTCAATTTCAAATGGCCTAAAGCAGACCTGAAACCTTGTTATACTTTTAATTTATATTAAATTAGTAGATGCAGGTCTTGATGAAGTGGGACCTTCTTTATAGTCACAGTTAAGAAGGAAACTATTACTTTTCTCTGGGTCAGTGTTCCCATTTTGCTTTAATAAAACTGCCTTATAAAGACACTGAGCCTGTTTTCTCCTGTTGCAGTTCATCAATAAGAACATGGTTTCACAACAGCTTAAACTAAAATGAAATGGGCCCACCCAAGAGCTCTACCCATTCCAATATTTAGAAGCTTTTCCATCTATTTAGGTAAGCAATGAGATTTTACTCTTATTCAAAATCTCACATTTTTACTGAGATGTTTTAAATTGTTCATTTTTGTTTCCATAACAGAGGTATATTAGCAGGCCCAAGTCACTTCCTCATTAAGTATCTGGCAGAGAATCTAAAGATCTCAGCTAAATACACATTCAACTTCTTACAAGACAATGATTATTTGTAAATGGGCTGTTCTCAGCATTCCCACAGCCCACCTCCATTCAGCTGGAAGAATCCTGATACTGAGCAGAAACTCAGATCAAGCTCTTACCTATTCACAGGAGCATGGGTCTGTGGTCTGTGCAGCTGGCATCTTAAGTACACAGTTTCCCTTAATTCAACAGCACAGTGTCCTGGCCTTGAGGGCACTGCTCAGAGAATTTTCCTCAGACCTGACTTCCCTCCAGCCTTTGCCAAAGACCCACTTAAGACAATGAATGTTTGATACAAATGGGATAAGTGACATTTTAATTATCCATGAATCCTAGATACTGTAAACACAATACTGTTATCATCAGCCACCCAGAAGCTTATCATGAGTTTACAGAAACAAACATTTTCATGTTTTCTTGTTGGAAGTAAAAACTTACTCAAACTTTCTCTTGGTCATTTAACAATATCAACAAAAATTGAAAACCATATTTGATTTGACTTAAAAACTGCACATTCAAGTATTCATTCTAAGAAGATTAGACTTTACAAAAAATTGCATGGATGCTGACTGAAACATGTTTATAGTGCAGATAAATTAGAAATAAGCTTAATACTCATAGATAAAAGATTAATTAAGTATGATATAGCAATATAGTGGCTCCCCTGGTGGCTTAGACAGTAAAGAATGTCTGCAATGTGGGAGACCTGGGTTCCATCCCTGGGTTAGGAAGATCCTCTGGAGGAGGGCATGGCAACCTACTCCAGTATTCTTGCCTGGAGAATCTCCACGGAAAGAGAAGCCTGGCGGGCTACAATCCATGGGGTCGCAAAGACTCAGACACGACTGAGCGACTAAGCATACAGCATAGAGTGCAATATAGAAGAATACCACAGAGCCATTTAAAAGACTAAGGTAGCTTTCTCTGTATATAGATATGCAAATACTTATTGTTAAGATAAAAAATGTGGGAAAGCAAATATAATTTGATTTTTTGTTCATATGTTTATAAACACACATCTGTGTTTTAAAAGTATAGAACTATAAATACAGTTATTCAATGGTGGTATAAACTCCTTCACTTCAGACATTATACATATTTATATTTCAACTTATCACAATAAGCCTATATTGTTTTCTTATTTTAGGAAAATATTCTGAATGAAACCAGAGTACACCAAATTATCTTAGTTCCCATTTAACTTGTACAGTTTAATTTTAATGTTAAATGCAAGATTTATAGAAAGATGATATAATAAAATGTGAACAATATTTCTGAGCTAAACCACAGTAAATCTCAGTAACTAGTGCTAAAATCTAGGACTATACTAACTGCTTTCCTTTTTTAATATTCATAACTACCTAAAAGATATATTTCTATTAAAGTACTACCAGCAGAGGAACCTGGAATGTCAGGCCCATGAATCAAGGCAGATTGGAAGTGGCCAAACAGGAGATGGCAAGAGTGAACATCGACATTCTAGGAATCAGCGAAATAAGATGGACTAGAATGTGTGAATTTAACTCAGATGACCATTATATCCACTACTGTGGGCAGGAATCCCTTAGAAGAAATGGAGTAGCCATCATGGTCAACAAAAGAGTCCAAAATGCAGTACTTGGATGCAATCTCAAAAACGACAGAATGATCTCTGTTCATTTCCAAGGCAAACCATTCAATAACACGGTAATCCAAGTCTATGTCCCAACCAGTAACACTGAAGAAGCTGAAGTTGAAAGGTTCTATGAAGACCTACAAGACCTTCTACAACTAACACCCAAAAAAGATGTTCTTTTCATTATAGGGAACTGGAATGCAAAATTAGGAATTCAAGAAACACCTGGAGTAACAATCAAATATGGCCTTGGAGTACAGAATAAAGCAGGGTAAAGGCTAATAGAATTCTGCCAAGAGAGCACACTGGTCATAGCAAACACCCTCTTCCAACAACACAAGAGAAGACTCTACACATGGACATCACCAGATGGTTGACACCGAATCAGATTGATTATATTCTTTGCAGCCAAAGATGGAGAAGCTGTATATGGTCAGAAAAACAAGACCGGGAGCTGACTGTGGCTCAGATCATGAACTCCTTATTGCCAAATTCAGACTTAAATTGAAGAAAGTGGAGAAACCACTAAACCATTCAGGTATGTCCTAAATCAAATCCCTTATGACTATACAGTGGAAGTGAAAAATAGATTTAAGGGACTAGATCTGAGAGAGTGCTTGATGAACTATGGTCAGAGGTTCGTGACATTGTACAGGAGACAGGAATCAAGACCATCCCCATGGAAAAGAAATGCTAAAAGGCAAAATGGTTGTCTGAGGAGGCCTTACAAATAGCTATGAGAAGAAGAGAAGTGAAAAGCAAAGGAGAAAAGGAAAGATATTCCCATTTGAATGCAGAGTTCCAAAGAACAGCAAGGAGAGATAAGAAAGCCTTCCTCAGCGATCAATGCAAAGAAATAGAGGAAAACAACAGAATGGGAGAGACTAGAGATCTCTTGAAGAAAGTTAGAGATACCAAGGGAACATTTCATGCAAAGATGGGTTCAATAAAGGACAGAAATGGTAGGGACCTAACAGAAGCAGAAGATATTAAGAAGAGGTGGCAAGAATACACAGAAGAACTGTACAAAAAGGATCTTCACAACTCAAATAATCATGATGGTGTGATCACTCACCTAGAGCCAGACATCCTGGAATGTGAAGTCAAGTGGGCCTTAGGAAGCATCACTACGAACAACGCTAGTGGAGGTGATGGAATTCCAGTTGAGTTGTTTCAAATCCTGAATGATGATGATGTGAAAGTGCTACATTCAATATGCCAGCAAATTTGGAAAACTCAGCAGTGGCCACAGGACTGGAAAAGGTCAGTTTTCATTCCAATCCCAAAGAAAGGCAATCCCAAAGAATGCTCAAACTACCACACAATTGCACTCATTTCACACGCTAGTAAAGTGATGCTTAAAATTATCCAAGCCAGACTTCAGCAATATGTAAACCATGAACTTTAAGATGTTCAAGTTGGTTTTAGAAAAGGCAGAGGAACCAGAGATCAAATTGACATCTGCGGGACCATTGAAAAAGCAAGAGAGTTCCAGAAAAACATCTATTTCTGCTTTATTGACTATGCCAAGGCCTTGGACCATGTGACTCACAATAAACTGTGGAAAATTCTGAAAGAGATGGGAATACCAGACCACCTGACCTGGTTCCTGAGAAACCTGTATGCAGGTCAGGAAGCAACAGTTAGAACTGGACATGGAACAACAGACTGGTTCCAAATAGGAAAAGGAGTACATAAAGGCTGTATATTGCCACCCTGCTTATTTAACTTATATGCGGAAAGCATCATGAGAAACACTGGGCTGGATGAAGCACAAGCTGGAATCAAGATTGCCGGGAGAAATATCAATAACATCAGATATGCAAATAATACCACCCTTAAGGTAGAAAGTGAAGAAGAACTAAAGAGCCTCTTGATGAAAGTGAAAGAGGAGAGTGAAAAAGTTGGCTTAAAGCTCAACATTCAGAAAACTAAGATCATGGCATCTGGTCCCATCACTTCATGGGAAATAGATGGGGAAACAGTGGAAACAGTGGCTGAGTTTATTTTCTGGGCTCCAAAACCACTGATGGTGATTGCAGCCATGAAATTAAAAGATGCTTACTCCTTCGAAGGAAAGTTATGACCAATCTAGACAGCATATTAAAAGGCAGAGAGATTACTTTGTCAGGAAAGGTCTGTCTAGTCAAGGCTATGGTTTTTCCAGAAGTCATGTATGGATGTGAGGGTTGGACTATAAAGAAAACTGAGCACCAAAGAATTGATGCTTTTGAACTGTGGTGTTGGAGAAGACTCTGGAGAGTCCCTGGACTGCAAGGAGATCCAACCAGTCCATCCTAAAGCAGATCAGTCCTGGGTGTTCATTGGAAGGACTGACGTTGAAGCTGAAACTGCAATATTTTGGCCACCTGATGCGAAGAGCTTACTCATTTGAAAAGTCCCTGATGCTGGGAATGAGTGAGGGCAGGAGGAGACGGGGATGACAGAGGATAAGATGGTTGGATGGCATCACCAACTCAATGGACATGGGTTTGGAGGACTCTGGGAGTTGGTGATGGACAGGGAGGACTGGTGTGCTGCAGTTCATGGGGTTGCAGAGTTGGACACGACTGAGCTACTGAACTTAAATGAACTGAACAAAGGGGCCGTGAAGAGTCGGACACAGCTGAGCGACTGAACTGAACTGAACTGAACAAAGGTACTGTTAAAATCCATATCTTACAAAGAGACAAGAATTCAGATATATTGAAAAACTTTGCCGGTTGGTAGTAGAATTAAAAGACTAAACTAAATATGTCTAACTCAACAGCCATAGTGTTCAACACAATGCCAGACTATTTTACTATTTTATTGTATGAAGGTCATGACCAGGAAAGCTACATCCACTCTATGCATTCTAGATACCACATATTTAATACAGGAATTCAAGGCTTTAAAAAATTTGAAATATCTATAGTGAACTTGTTCAGAGAGGTCTCCGCAAATTTCTAAGTCAGAGGCAGTTAGTTCTTAATAGCTCACAGAAGCTTTTGCACTTCTCAAAATTCTCTGGAAAGTGTCCCTCAACTATTTCAGTCTATGGTAAGTAGGTGCTTCTCAAGTACTTATTTGGAAGCCTCCATGACATGGCAGGACTGTTCATGCATCTGGCTGAAATTGCATGTGCAGGGAAAAACTGGCTTTTTCTGCCCCCACCGTCAGTCTCACCAAGTGCCTCTCTTGGGCAAACTCTAAGCTGAAGCAACATAGAAGAATTCTGGAAAATATAGTTCCCAGATTCTGTACCATGCAGAAGTGACCTTAGAAAAGGGATATGGAACCCTGAGTAGTCAAGACAATCCAAAATTATTGATTCACTAGTTATTTTATATGTGTGTGTATCTATATTTATATAACCTTGTATAGATACAGAGATACACACACATATATACATACATGTTTGGTATGTGTATACAAGCAGTATAGTATAAAAATTAAGAATACTGACTCTGAAGTCAAATGGCTTCTGCTCAAATCCTGGCTCCCCGTTTATGTCCTGGGTAAGTTTGAGCAAGTTACTTAATCTCTCTGTGCTTCAGTTTTTCCCTCTTTAAAATGCAAATAATAGTATCACCTACTTCACTAGATTATTGTGAGGGTTATATATAAAGTATATGCAGCTTACAATATTGCCTCGCATATGATAGTGCTATATAATGTTTCAATTATTATTGTTATATTTCTTATTTGACATACTACACACACACACACACACACACACACACACACTTTTAGAATGAATGCCAGGGAAAAGTTCACTTTTTTGAGACAATGTGAATCAAAATATTGTATTTTACTTTGTTTTTGTTGAAGTCCAGGAAAACACTTAGGACATGTTCAAAATGACCAATTCATATCAGTTTTCAGATATAACTATTTATTAACTAATCTTGATAGATTTTTATTCTGAATTTTATTCTCCATTATCCCATATACATATTCAACTTGGAAGGTAGTGGAATATAAAGAGAAATTTTTAAAAAGGAAGGAAAAAGGAGAAAGGTCTTGTTCATATATTATATATTGCTTTATTTCTACCTTCCCCCCTCCCCCAATTAGTATTAGTTTATTTCTTAGACTTTTAGTTTAAATTTATTTCAATTATTATTTCTGGTTATTGGATAATTCATTTGCAAGAGGCTTTTATATTTTCTATTATCTGAGCTTCCCAAGCTAAGCGTCCCAACTTTTCTTAGGAAACTCATCAATCTTGATTTAATTAAAAAATATTTTTTAAAAATTCTTGCTACAATTCTACAATTTGCCCTTGAGTAAGAAGCAAAGTTGCCCATGTGAGAAATAGCTCAAATGCAAACAAACATCTGAAAGTCTGAGCATCTGTCCTGTTATCTGTTAGAACCACTGATTGTTTTCACAACCCATGTGTCTTCAAATGATAGTTCTTTCCCAGGAAGCAGGAAATGGACCTTGATTTAACTCTGCTTTTAACCTCCAAAGTTGAATTTCTCTTTACCTGAGGTGCCTCCAGTTCCCTTCAAAAAAGAATTTCAGGCATGTCATAGCCTAGTTTAAAAGTCAGATGATCTCCCACATATTCTTCCTATTTACTGAAAAATATCCTTCTTAATTATCTCTCTCCTTGAGGTTGTTTTCAGAGGCCCTGTAGATGAATTTCATAAATGCTGCATGGCTTAAATTTTTACATCAGACCAATCAAAACTTATCCTATAAATTCGGTGACAATTCACATATCCATTTCCTCATGATTTATTAATAAACCAGCAGACAGATTTCACTTTCATGTAGCTTTGAAAAATTAGGTAAATGGAGGTAATGTATCTCCCACACATAGAATATTTAGATATGATTACTTCTAACTCAAGCTGTCAGTTTATTCCTAAAACTCAAAAAGAATCAAGTTAATAAATATATTTTGCATGTCCTTTGAAATCACAATAGGTTCTTCCCTTTTGACAATCTTTGAATGGATTTTGGAATGCATGGGGGGAAAGTTGACATTTAAAAAATCTATACAACTACCTTCCTAAATGCAGTTTTCAAGTATACATTTGTCCTACCTGCCACAACAGCATTTAATATTTTAAAAAATTTAAAGCATTAAAAGTATTTTCCTCTTCTCTTTGAACAGCCCAACATAGTAGGCACATATACATACATCAATTCTTCACTTATCTCTGTATTATTGAGAGAACGTAAATAATGTTAAAATCAGTCTAAAGAGGAAATCTTGAATTCCTACATTATTTCCATTGAGCTCATGTTTCAATCTCACAGAGAGCCTAACCTACTCCTATCCTCGTTTTATGACTATTAAAAAGCCTAAAAGTGGTGATATGAAAGTCTACATTTCTATACACAACAAATAATGTGTCTTTGTGCTTAACTTCTCTGAGGTCATTGAAATGGCAGAAACATCAGCTGGTCTAAGTATGTTTGAAAATGGAGAAGAGAGAACTCATTCAGGCTCACTCTAACCCAGGCCCCTGCCCAACTCATAGAAATGAGAATAGCGCTCAGGATTCCAGATTCCAGTAGCAGAACCTCAGATATTCATGCTCTCTTGAAGTTCTACAGGCAGGACTGTTTGAGAGATCTAGTCAGGTGAAACTCTGGGCCCTATGAATCCTGAGGGCAGGACTCATAAAGCTTGCTTGCACTGAGCTATTATAAAGGAAGCTGAAACCTCAGAGTCCAGTCAAAGGGACCCCTGCCATAAGTTCCCTCTAAACCAGGGGAAGCTGGAGGCACTCAGCTCTCCAACAGTCACCGCATGTCCCTTACTCTAGAACTTCAGCAAACTTGCTTTGCCGCTGCCCCGGTTCGTGGCTCCCTGTGACCCCTCCATTCTGAGTGGCATGTCACTGTCCAGACTGTGTCATTTAAACCTGCCTAACCTAAACTTTAGGGGCTGTTTACCCTGAACCAACTGCTAGCTCACAGGATAAAGGTTCTGCTTGGAGATTCACAAGTGCCATCTCAGCCACCCCTTTGCAAGCTCATCGGAGCGGATACTGAGTGCCCTCACCCTACAGATGAAGGAACTGAGACTCTGAAATTAGGTCGCTTCCTGAGTCATAGAGATGGTAGGTGACAGACTAGGCTTTGCACACACATCAGGTTGATCATGGACTATAATGGGCATAATAGCTTCACTAGACCATTCTCTGCTAGAGAGACAAACTCAGCTCTGGTGTGTAAACAGAACAAGGCAGTACATGTATGTGCTCTTAATAAAAACATTCTATTGAAGGCTTCCCAGGTGGCTCAGTGGTAAAGAATCCACCTGCCAATACAGGAGCCACAAGAGACGTGAGTTCAATCCCTGGTTCAGGAAGATACCTTGGACAAGGAAATGATAACCCAGTCCGGTATTCTTGCCAGGATAATCCCATGGAAAGAGCAGTCTGGCGGGCTACAGTCCATGGGGTAACAAAGAGTTGGACATGACTGAACATGAATGCACCACACCACACTCTCTGTTGAAACAAGAACACTTTTCAATAACATCCCCAAATAATATATATGGACTTAACACTCAAAAAGAGAAAGAAATTTAGTTTCAAAGGTAAGCTCATTACTTCTGGATGTTTCTATGACTTTCTGCTGCTCTGTCAAGGATTCTAAATCTATTTCTGCTGGTCTACACCAATATACAGACTGTTGACTATTGCTGGTCTACAAGCTTTTTCCTGAAGGCACCTAATTTCAGGAATCCAACCAAACCTACTTCACTTCAGTCCATACAGACCCGTGCCTTCATCACCTGCTACAGTGAAGTCAAGAAAGGAACATCCAACCTGGCTATCCACAGATGGATGGGCAGAGGTTTGGAAAGACCATACATGCACCCGGGCATGCCTTATCTCCTTCTGGATGGCAGCAACAGTCCTATGGATCCTCACATCCATTCAATCCCCTACCACCACTCCACTTAATCCACAAGATGTTGGTCACATTGCAGCCTGGGCTTTTCGGGTAACAAATCTGGTCCTACCACTTGTCTTAAAATGGTGTTCCAGCCCTACTCACCCTGGTCAGTTCACTTATCCTTCAGGTCAGAAATCCACAACTCTGACCATCACTTCCTGGGGAAACCTAGCCCCAGCCTTTCTGACCTGGTTAAATTTTAAATTTATTCTTTAAATCATTAAGCTTAGATTATTTAAAAGATCACCATGCACCTCTTTTTCAGATATCTTGTCACAGGTTGCAGTGTCATATTTAAAGCAGTCTGCTTTTATTTCTAGCATCTCCCTTGCTCCAAGTATACTGCATGGCACAACTTACACATGAATATCTGTTGAATGAAGAGAAGTGATCTGGCAAAGTGAACAGAGCATCAGTTTGTATTCAGACCTGGACACAGTGAAATCTGACTCTGGTGACCAACACATACAAGTTCATTAAGGTAAAAGGTCAGTAAAACCTTTACAAAGGATGACTTTTGGGGAATAGTACAAAGACCATTGCTCATATACAATCTTGGTAAAATTTGTACTCAATAAATTATGATAAATAAAAGTTGTACTTACAGTTATGAGACATTGCTTTGATAGTTCCTCTTTTAAGTTTTGTACCAAACTAGTGGCTAATAACATTGTGCTTAGGAAATCTATTCTTCCTTGGTTATAAGCTATTATGTTACTTCTTTCTTCCAAGGAAATATGAATGAGTGTTATCTTGCCTTGAAGACGTTTACCTGAAATATCAAATGGAAGAATATTCCTGACTATTTCAAACTTAATCTCCAAGTTGAGATAAATCACCAAATACCATTCTTTTGCTAAATTTGTGTATTACAGAGTGAAACACAGCATCAAATCATAGTTCCAAGTGCTTGCAAAAGTCAGACACACATTCTAGTGACTTTTTTGTTTCTCCTCTTTTTTCCCTTTAACATGGTGATAATCAGAACAAATTGATTTTGTTTCTCAGATTGCTAAAATCCTCCCAACACTTTCTTCAACACCGGTGCTGAATAAATCATTGTAATGTTCCCCTGAAGTGAATTGAAAATTAATTTACACAACCAAGATGATCCTCCTAATAACAGGGTACATGGAATGGGGAAATTGGAAATCATTACCCAGCAAACATTATCTGCATTATTTTTGTAGCTGCTTTAGATTGCATTGTAATAGAAAATTAGGAGACCGGCTGTGAAGAAGTTTAAGAGGGTCCCCTGAAGAGCATCTGCTTTAAAATTGATTCTTTAAGAAAGCATTAAAAAGCTATTGGAATTGATTGCCTGCTAATATAAAGGAAAAACTCTTTGCCACCATTTGAGTTAAAAAAGAGCATCTTCATTCATGCATGTTATTAAAACTACTGGCCTGAAAGCCCCTGTAGAAAGATAAAGGATATGGATGGGATATTAAAACAGCAATCTTTACCTTATCTGGGATTTAAATTTAATATGTTGCTTTTATTAATTTAGCAGGAACCATTAGTTAGGATGTCAAAGAGTGGATTTACAATTAAAATGCTATAGAATAGTGGTATCTTTAATAAACAATGGACCAGGAATTCTTCATTAATCTTCCGAGCATGAGGCACACCCCTACAAAGAATAAATCCTGAATTTACAGTTTCTTTATTGCTAAGTTTTCTGTGCAGCAGCAATAAAAGTCATAGCTGATAACACCCCTGATTAGCTCTTGAAGCTTCCCCTGAAATGGGCTAATGACCAATCAGATCCCAGCAGTTGGTGAGATAGAAAATAACATTCACCATCTTAAAATATGTCTTTAGAGCTTAGGATAGTTTCCATGTTTCCAACACAGTGGGCTATTGTTTGAGAAATGATATTAAAGACAGATTATACAAACATATAAGCAAACCCAGTAGGGTGCCTCAACACTAAACTATTTTCTTTTTATAGCCTTTTGATTTTTACCACATTCAGTGGAAATTGCCTTGTCTCTTTTAATACATGATAAGTAGAACTACTTAACAGCAAGGAATAATGAGTAAGAAATGCCTTTTTGAATACAATATATTATCTTTTTCTTTAAAAGTTATCTCAGAATTTAGTTAAATTTCACCTTCACCTCAATCACTTTTTTATCTCCCTTCTTCTGTTGTAATGGATTGTGAAAAATTTCTGCACAGATGAACTATCTTAGCAAATTCTGGTAGAGAAATAGTAGTATAGATATACAGCATGCATTAATAAAATAAAATTGCATTCTAGAAGGAAAGTCACACCCAGTACCACCTTGAATCCTCCCTCTTGGTGCTATTAGGAGGTCCTTGATGATGTAGTAGAAATAGTCACATAATAAGGCCCTTTGGGAATCTCAGTTAGGAACCCTTTGGAGCTCATTGAAATGGACCCACCCACTTTACACCGAAATCTAAATTATTCTGACTAACCTAGTTACACATTTCTCATATGCCACCTTCAAATATTAACATGAAATCTGAAATGCTCTCTGGATTAAACACCAAAACAATTCTATATTAAACTATATTCTTCAAAATAGATTCTTTTATTCTTCAATAGATTTTTTGTATCTATTTTATTAATATGTTATTTTTAGTTACTATACATCCTGGCTTACCTGGGACAGTCCCTAGCAAGGCCTGTCACTGCAGTAATATTAAATTAAGATTTTCCTTCACTTTCAACTGTATCCTGGTTTAAAGGATAAATTATATTTCTAACCAATTTATAAGTATTTTCTAAGTAATTTCTGAAATATATAACTTGTAGATCATTTGCAATAGAACCTAGAGTCATTTTAGTCAAAACAGCTAAGCTTAAAGTTAAAATAACAAAAATTTATGCTTCCAAAATAAATTTCAATTTCACTGCCACTCATAAAATTCCTTAACACTTTTAGATTACAGAAGTCATACATGAAATCTGCTCAGACTTTAATGACTAAAATAATAAGCAAAAATTCTCCATAAACTTGCTCTACAAAGGAAAGCATTGTTAACAGATCTTTGTCTACAGAAACAAAAACAGAGGTATTTTATCTTTCAAAATCAGATTGTAATATTTTTAAACTGGTCTTTTCAGTCGGTTGCCAAAACCAGAAAGAAAAGAAGACGTCTTAAATAGTAAATGACCTTATTTCTTTATCATGTCTCCCAATTCTGTTGACAAAAGACAAAGATCAAAACAGCATATGTTGACAGACAGTAAAGAAAAGCTGGACAGCATATGGCAACCAGGTTTCCAACCAGCAGTACAATATGTTACTCAAATCCACCTCGTTCATGCCTAGGTTCCTGGGCTCCTATAAGTTTTCTTACTTAAATCCTTTACCAATATTATCACTATTTAATAGCACATCAAAACTCACGCTAAGAAAGACAAAAACAAAAATGAGTAAAAATAACATGAACAATTTTATAAAGAAAACGTCTAAAATCAACTTGATGTTTGAATTGAAAAGTCTATTTATTACATGGATGTTATGTCTTGATGCACATTGTAAATAATCAATATAGGTTTGCTAATGTTTATGATAAGGATATTATAAAAATATAAACAAGCAATAGAAGAAATTAATAAAAAAGCAATGAAAATTAAAGTCATCTTTATTAATATTTTATTGTTGATACATAACTTTTTTGCAATGATAGAAGTCATGTATAATATAGTAGAATAATGTGAAACTATTCCTTGTGTGAGCTTTGGAATTTTCTTCTCTCATAAAGTTCTCACTAGTTAGAACTGGAATTTTCTTTTCTAGTCAATAAGCTGGCACAAACAACTTCAAATATCATGTGTGCTAGATATCAAAATAATTTTAATGTTAAGCTAGGTAATAAAAATATTTTCTATAATCATAGAAACATAGACACTTACAGTCTTATTGTCCTAAAACTAAGATAGAACAAAAGCTATTTTAAAAGTTGGATTTTTTTCTAAGAAACTATATTTTATTAGTTCTTTTTAAAGACTCAATGTCTTTCCCTCTTAAAAGAAGCACAGAGCTACGAACTTGTTCTTTGAATCTAATGGATAGGAACATCAGTAAACTGAAGACATACTCTCCTGGAAGAAAGCAGTTGAAAAATGTTTCTAAAACCATCTCCACATATCAAAAGACCAAAGAGGAGGGGAAAAAAGAGATGAAAGTGAGGTCATCTGTGTATCACACACCCCACCAAGAAATGTAGTTCCTGTCCTCCAAAATGGGAAGAAATTAACCCTGGGAAAGAAAGTATCCACAGCCTTTAAATTAGTAGAGCTTATTTTTCTTTTCTCATTCATTTCCATTTCTTAATAAATCCAAATTGCTGCTCCACTACACACACACAAAAGGAAAGCCCACCAATGGTTCATGAGAAAAATGATAAGATACATACCCCTTAGATGAGCCTAGAGTTGTGGAAAGAAGTCAGGAAATGAAAAGGAGAGAAATCTAGCTTTATCTTCATAGTTTTTAAAGAGTTACAAAGAAAGCCAAAGCTAAGAGAATATCAGATACTTCCATTTATACTGAAAAGGGTTTCCCTGGTGGCTCAGAGGGTAAAATGTCTGCCTGCAATGTGGGAGACTCAGGTTAGATCCCTGGATTGGGAAGATCCCCTGGAGAAGGAAACAGCAACCCACTCCAGTATTCTTGCCTGGAGAATCCCATGGACAGAGGGGCCTGGTAGGCTACAGTCCAAGTCAGAGTCAAACTTCATTAGAAATGTTTAAAATGAGAAATACAGAAGTTCAAAATTTCATATATACAATCCTTTTAAGAAAGCACTTCTCTCACTTTCCTTCCCTTAATTAACACATTAAAGGAAAATGAACAAATTGAAGGACTAGCACATTGAAGGACATTCTCTTTAATAAGATGAGACATGGTTCTTCAAGCTGTCTTGGCCAGACCTGGAAATGGACAGGTACCATGTACCTGTAGGAAATGCTTTAAACAAAAAAGAAAGGTCCCACTCCAAGCTGCAGCTCAGCCATGCTCATCCTTCTCTTCATTGTGTGCTGGCCTTCAGGACAAATAATTTGCAGAATCTCAAACTTGACTTGAAGACAAGTTAAAATGAAAAACACTTATGAGAAAAAAATTGTAAGTTGATCTCGGACATCCATACACAGGCAATAGACTGCTCACCTGCCCTACTCTCTAACTATAGGATAGAAAGGAAAGTTTTTCTACACATGTGTTAGCCAGAATTCTTTGGCTCATGCCAGACTCCCACTGACTGTCTTGCATGGTTATCATATCTCCATTCTTTCTTTCCCAACAGTCAGTTTTTCAGGTAGAATCAACCCTTATTATTGTTTAGTCGCTAAGTCACGTCCAACTCTTTTGCCACCCTGCAACCCCACAGACGGTAGCATGCCAGGCTCCTCTGTCCTTGGAATTACCAGGCAAGAATACTGGAGTGAGTTGCCATTTTCTTTTCCACGGGACCTTCCCAACTCAGGAACCAAACCCAGGACTCCCCCATTGCAGGTGGATTCTTTACCATCTGAGCCACCAAGGAAGCTCAAGAATACTGGAGTGGGTAGCATATCCCTTCTCCAAGGATCTTCCCTACCCAGGAATTGAACTGGGGTCTCCTGCATTGCAGGCAGATTCTTTACCAGCTTAGCTACCAGGGAAACCCTTCTATAAGCTAGATCTGCTTTTCTTTCCCCCTAGTCCTTAACGGCATGCTCTTTTTTTTTTTTTTTAACCACTCAGTGTGGCTGTAGCAGACATGAGAACGTGCCTTGCAGAACTCCAGCCACAGAAACTTCACTGACCAGGGGACCCAGCTACAGCCCTCTGAGTCCACCACTGGGCTGGCTGAGCCCATGCCTTCACCAGCTGCTTCCTGGCAATGACTGAGTTCAGGAGAGATACTAAGCAGGCTCCTTTTTGTAAGACACAAACTCCCCGGATGGGGGCCTTTGGCCCAGGAAAGGCACAGAGACTTTGCCTAAACTGTCTTAGAACTACACTGTGCTCTACAACTTTTCCTATCCAACCTTGTCTCCTTCCTTCTCTCTCATACAGGGGCAAGATCTGCATTATGACCTGGAAGCTCTCCCAGTACCATCCTACATTCCCTGTGATCAGATGTACGTGTTTGCTTCTTTTTTGTATGTGTGTTTGCTTCTTGGAGGACTCAAAATGACACAGTAGCTCTGCCTCTTTGCTTATCCTAATTTGTGATAAATTCCTTGAAGATCTGCTGAGGGATAAGCTCCTTGTCTGTAAACTTCATTCAAGTAATGGGGGCCTAATGTATATATTTGAGGAAGTCTAAAGTTAGTCATGTGGCAGAATGCACTGGCACACAGGAACTGTGATATGGCGGAGAGAATCAAAGGATGGGGATTCAGTATCAGGAGCTCTGGTGAACACGTGTGTGGGGGTGGGGGGCAGTTAGTTGCTCAGTTGTGTCTGACTCTTTGTGACCCCATAGACTACAGCCCATCAGGCTCCTCTGTCCATGGAATTCTCCTGGCAAGAATACTGGAGCAGGATAACATTTCCTTCTCTACTGGTGAAGATGCTCATCTTCAAAAGTTAGGAGAGAGCAGGCACACACAGAGTTCCTTAAAGGTATTGTGGAAGAAACAAATTGAGTAGTAAAGTGAATGAAACACATAGAAAATACATCTAGGACAAAAATCTGTCTCCCATTCAGCGACACCCTTTTGTATCAACTGCCTGGAATGGCACAGGAGATATAAACCATGCTGCTTTCCAAGATCTAAACAGTAACTGTGGGAGAAAAAATTAAAAAAAAAAGAATAAAGTTCTCAGGGAAAAGATTATCTTGAAACCAGAGTCAGCAAACTTTTTCCAGAAAGGGCCACTTGAAATGTAAAATCATTCTTAGTTTGAGTCCCATACGAAGAAAGAAAGAGGGTCAAATTTGGTCTAGGGTCTGTGGTTTTCAACCCCTGGCCTAAAACAAAGGTGACTAGTCCTGTCTGTCCAAGGATAAATTCAGGAAACATGAAAACATGTTAATCGCTCAGTCGTGTCCAGTTGTTTGTGACCCTATGGACTGTAGCCCACCAGGCTCCTCTGTCCATGGAATTCTCCAGGCAAATAATACTGCAGTGGGTAGCCATTCCCTTCTCCAGGGGTTTTTACTTTACATGCCATATTTATATTTCATTCAAAATAAAAATAACTTTATAAACCCCAGCCCAGAAGTGTATATTGTTACAGTTTAAATTATCACTTTAACTGATTGGAAATTGAAGGTTTCTGAGAGAATCTTCCTTCTTTTTAAGTCACTAAAATGTCTGTTTTCTTAGTATATTTGAAAATTAGCAACAAGAAGGTAGCCTTCTGATCTTTTAGGTATAAATTTAATTCTGAGCTTCATTATGCAACTAACTGGCTCCTTAGTTCCAAAGATGATGAATTCTGCTTCCAGGTTCTGGAACCATTCAGTGGAGCACGTGGTGTTCAAACTCTGGCTAGCCTTGTGACTCTGTTTTATTTTCAAAGAATTTATCTTCATCTTTTTTGATACTTTGGTTTCCACTACCTGAAATTTGCCATATATCATGTTTGTTTATTATAAGTAATAATGATGATATAGTTATTTATTAAGCACTTGTTTCTTTGTCCTTAACCTTGTTACATACACTACCTTAACCTTGTTATACTATACTACTGACTTGACACCCTGAAATCCATACTTTTATGGATGTTGAAACTGGGACTCAGGAAGGGGATATGATTTGACCAACGGCACAGAATTAATCTATCTGTAGTAGAATATTTTTGTCTTGGCCAGCATAGTACTCTTTCCCTTTCTTCTGGTAGTAAAAGAAGTATTTTTCTACTGTCTGTTCCACACTATAGGATTCTGGTAGATCTGTCACTCATATGGCCCAGCTTTTCACTGACCTAGCTTTCAAGTGTGAGTGAATCACTAAAACAGATAGTCAGGATGGATACACTTATTGGTCTAGGAGTAACAATATGGTTCTTACAGGATCAGGGGCCAGGGCAATGGCTGTGGATGCTGGGAGAGAAATTATCTCTCTGCTTTCATGACAGTGAGTGAGTCACATATATTTAGGGCACCAGGGCCCTTCTTTGTCATTACACAAACACCGCCTGCTGGTGAGTGACACCAGTACTGAGAAAAGCAGAGCTGAGAGATGGAAAGAAAGTGAGTCATATGGCATCTTCTGAATCCAGGTATAGCTGAAGCTAATGCCAATTCTTGGACTAGCCAATAACAAAAGCTAACAAATATCCCTTTTGTTTAAAGCAGAGTTGGTTTTCTATTAATGCAACAGGAAAAGTTCTGGCCAATGCAATACTAGAGCCAGAATTTAACCCAGTATATCTAATTATATGACTATATTAATTAAGTCTTCATTAAAGACAGTGTGGCTCAGCTGGTAAAGAATCCACCTGCAATGCAGGAGACCTGGGCTTGATCCCTGGGTTGGGAAGATCCCCTGGAGAAGGGAAAGGCTACCTGCTCCAGTATTCTAGCCTGGAGAATTCCATGGACTATATAGTCCATGGAGTCACAAAGAGTCGGACACGACTGAGAGACTTTCACTTTCAACTTTCAAAGACAAATTAGAGGTTATGGTCATACCACTGCTAATAGTGTAATCAAATTAAAATGTAGAAATAGTAGCTAAATGCCCTGTGAACAGCCCTAATCATGGTAATTAGCATTTCTGCGACAATTAATTTTTTATGTTTTTCCATGAGCATCTTTATGACAGTTACTATATCTTGCTGCTAAGTCACTTCAGTCGTGTCCGACTCTGTGCAACCCCATAGAAGGCAGCCCACCAGGCTCCCCCATCCCTGGGATTCTCCAGGCAAGGGGGGAGTAGGTTGCCATTTCCTTCTCCAATGCATGAAAGTGAAAAGTGAAAGTGAAGCCACTTAGTCGGGTCTGACTCTTAGCGACCCCATGGACTGCAGCCTACCAGGCTCCTCCATCCATGGGATTTTCCAGGCAATAGCACTGGAGTGGGGTGCCATTGCCTTCTCCGACTATATCTTATCCATCCCCTAATCTTTCTGCTGAGCCCAATCCCTAGGACTTAGAAGGTACACAGTAAACATTTTTTGAATAAGCAAATATTAATAGTAATTTATTAATGTCTACCTTTTCTTTCAAGTTAACTTGGAATACTCTTTCCAAGTTAGTTGCATGTCTTAATCTCTTACTTTATTCATATCTTTGCTTAACCATCTGACCTTATCTGAGAGGTTTTCCAACAGAGGTTTCCAATACAGTCTACTGCTCATCAGTCTTTTCCCCATCTTACTTTAGTTTTCTTGATAATAGCTACACCTACACTTACATATATTCCTTGTCACTCTCACTAGAATGTAAACTTTTTGAAAGTGCCTCATATATAAAAGACTCTCAGAAACGATTGAACAATTGAATATTTATATCATAAACAATGTAACTGGGGGTGCATTCAGATCCACACTTCTAATGACTTCCAATACCTTTTAAAGATTTATTTAATATTTTATAATTAAAACAGAGTTAAATTTAATATTTATATATTCTAATGTAATGAATATATGTTTTAAACATTATGAAATAAGGTTTTAAGTAAAATACTTTGCCATTGTGTAAACCGAATCTAAAAATCTACTAAATCCATACTAGTAATCATATTGATTAACACAGTATTGCTTTAAGACAGTCTGCTAAGTCAACTATCTGTTTGCTCATGATGTTATGGCAATGATATCTTAGCCTAGATTAACTGTAAAGTATATTCAGGCTTAGTGACATCTAGGTGTATATCATGATTGATCCATAGAAACTGGACTCATGTTATTTTAAAAAATACTTTGACTTTTTTTTTTTTTTTTTTGCAGAACTTAGTCTAAAAACCATCAATTTTTAAGTAAATACAGACATGGACCCAAAGCAATGACAACTTACTAGTAGAATTATATTTTGAGAAACTCTAAACTATGAAAATAGTATAATTGCATTGGAAAAGTTTTAGAAACAAATCTCTCATGACAGAGAAAGTGATCATGGAAAGAACTATATGATGCAGATTAACTATAGAACATATTCAAGTTTTCAGTCTTCTCCCAGTTAGACTGACTTTAAGATAGAGCTTCAAAAACTATGACAATCATCACTGTCCCCTCTCTCCTAGTTTGTTTCTAAGCATTGCTCTTGTTGGTAAGCTTAGGGCTACTGAAAATGACATATTTGGAATTTTCCCATGAATACCATGAACTTTAAAAAATATCATATTACAACTGCAATGTGAATCAGTAGCCCTGTGTAATTAACATGAGAACAGTAATTTGTCTCTTGCTGACTCCAAGTGTCTAGTTGCTTCTTGGTCTTTATTCCTCCAATTATCAGAGAGACCAGCTGTAGTTCTACATGGGATATACCTGACAGTTTGAGGTGTCCAGATGCCAAGTCCTGCTTTAAAAAGAAAAAAAAATTTTTTTTAAAGAAGATAGCAGTCCTTCTCAAGGTAATGTTTCCTTCAGAGGCAACTAGTGTTCAGAATCGAGAGTAAAGAAGAGAAATCAGGGGAGGAGAGAAGCCAGACTTCCATTTGATTTTCACCTGTAACAAATACCTGTTAATTCCCTGTTCCCTGACCAAGGGATCACCTCTTTCTATTTGAAAACTGTAAGATCTTTGCTCACATTTTTCTGTGGAGATAGGTAACTTGGCTGTAGTGTTCATCTTCCTGCTTAAAATGGAGCTTGATCAGGTTTTCTTCCTATTGAGGAGAAGGGATAGCTCTGTGATACACCAAGAGGCGGAGCCACAAGAAATACTGTGCCCTGGAACTCAGGGAGTAGAGGGGAGGGGGTGGGGGCGAGAGAGCAGGCACGGGTTTATGTACATTGTGCTAAAATGCCAGCTCCTTTTGTAAAAATGGAAATATGGCTAATTTACAATGTGTTGCTTTCAAGTTACCAGCTCTTTTGTTTTGAACCTTTAATAAAAAGTTAAGTATAATCTAAAAGTTCCAAATTCTAGATCAGTCACAGCTCTTCATTTAGAGTTTACATAAAGTTATACATTGTGATTAAATATTTTAATACAACAAATGTCCAAAGTAGACTTATTTGTCTTATAAGGTTCAGGCTGAAATACTATATTTCAGAATGCCTCATACAGAATAAGCTAAAAAGG